GGATGGAGCTCTGAGTTCTATGCTGGACTGGGTATGTTTAAAAATCAGACTGTTTCCAATGGCCATGGAACAGCTGATGGAGCTCTGAGTTCTATGCTGGACTGGGTATGTTTAAAAATCAGACTGTTTCAAATGGCCATGGAACAGCTGATGGAGCTCTGAGTTCTATGCTGGACTGGGTATGTTAAAAAATCAGACTGTTTCAAATGGCCATGGAACAGCTGATGGAGCTCTGAGTTCTATGCTGGACTGGGTATGTTTAAAAATCAGACTGTTTCAAATGGCCATGGAACAGCTGATGGAGCTCTGAGTTCTATGCTGGACTGGGTATGTTTAAAAATCAGACTGTTTCAAATGGCCATGGAACAGCTGATGGAGCTCTGAGTTCTATGCTGGACTGGGTTTTTAAAAATCAGACTGTTTCAAATGGCCATGGAACAGCTGATGGAGCTCTGAGTTCTATGCTGGACTGGGTATGTTTAAAAATCAGACTGTTTCAAATGGCCATGGAACAGCTGATGGAGCTCTGAGTTCTATGCTGGACTGGGTATGTTTAAAATCAGACTGTTTCAAATGGCCATGGAACAGCTGATGGAGCTCTGAGTTCTATGCTGGACTGGGTATGTTTAAAAATCAGACTGTTTCAAATGGCCATGGAACAGCTGATGGAGCTCTGAGTTCTATGCTGGACTGGGTATGTTTAAAATCAGACTGTTTCAAATGGCCATGGAACAGCTGATGGAGCTCTGGAGTTCTATGCTGGACTGGGTATGTTTAAAAATCAGACTGTTTCAAATGGCCATGGAACAGCTGATGGAGCTCTGAGTTCTATGCTGGACTGGGTATGTTTAAAAATCAGACTGTTTCAAATGGCCATGGAACAGCTGATGGAGCTCTGAGTTCTATGCTGGACTGGGTATGTTTAAAAATCAGACTGTTTCAAATGGCCATGGAACAGCTGATGGAGCTCTGAGTTCTATGCTGGACTGGGTATGTTTAAAAATCAGACTGTTTCAAATGGCCATGGAACAGCTGATGGAGCTCTGAGTTCTATGCTGGACTGGGTATGTTTAAAAATCAGACTGTTTCAAATGGCCATGGAACAGCTGATGGAGCTCTGAGTTCTATGCTGGACTGGGTATGTTTAAAAATCAGACTGTTTCAAATGGCCATGGAACAGCTGATGGAGCTCTGAGTTCTATGCTGGACTGGGTATGTTTAAAAATCAGACTGTTTCAAATGGCCATGGAACAGCTGATGGAGCTCTGAGTTCTATGCTGGACTGGGTATGTTTAAAAATCAGACTGTTTCAAATGGCCATGGAACAGCTGATGGAGCTCTGAGTTCTATGCTGGACTGGGTATGTTTAAAAATCAGACTGTTTCAAATGGCCATGGAACAGCTGATGGAGCTCTGAGTTCTATGCTGGACTGGGTATGTTTAAAAATCAGACTGTTTCATATAAAAAGGTCTAGTGGTATAGACCTTGGTAGAAACCAAAGCAGCATTAGCTAGATATTGGACACTCCAAGATGCTCTCCCTTGGGACATAATAAAACATCAAATCTTTAATCATTGCAAAATGGAGATGGGTATTTTAAAGCAGGAAAATTACCTTAATCCCAGAATAGAATTATGGAGAACATGGCTAACTAATTTAGAGTCCACATGAGGAAGGACATTTTTTTTCCCCTTTTCTCCTTTTCCTGATTTTTTTTTTCTTTCCTTTTTCATTTTTGGGCTTTTAACTTGGCACAATGTGTGAATGTAAGTCCAATTTGTTAATCAAATTTTATGAAAGTATTAAAAGGTATATAAATGTACAAAATTATTTTTAGATAAGAATGGATAAGCATCTGATGAATTACTAAAATAACCCAATATATGGTTTAACAGCCATTTCATTTCACTTCCAAAAGTAGATGTATTTACCTGGATTATCATATATGTATGTATTTGTTACTTATTTTTATACCTATTTATGTAGGTTCTGTTGTTGTTGTCTTATGTCAATACCTGTATGTGATGATTAGTACTTTAAAAAAAATAATAATAATTGGTCCCGGTACAGTAAGCAAGAATGCACATCCTCCCAACTAATCTGTGGCCTTGATTTAATATTTTTTATATAAAATTAACAAAAAAAATCATATTTTTGATCACATTTTTAAATTATATCTTTCAATGTATTAAAATATCAGAACATATATCATAGATAAACAAAATATATCAATATATCAAAAAATATCAAAATATTAAAAATGTAATTCCTTTTCATAATATTAAATCATTATTAAAGTTTATTTAAAAATATTAAATCATTTGGAAAGCTTATGCAACACTATTAAATTGAGCCAAACCTGGAAGCAAATTGGTGAGAGGGAAATTTTCTTGCATTTTTTTTGGAGCTGCCCAAAATTTAAGCCATTCTGACTTGGAATTACTTCTTTGCTTTTACACTAAATCCTTGGACTCTTCTGTTGTCAAAAGCACATGACTCTTTCACAAGAGCAGAGAATAAATTAGCTGAACACATGGCCCTTTCTCAATGTACAACAATTGGATAATGGTTGGCAAATAATTGCATTCCCATCATTGATACTGCTATTTGTAAAACTAAGGTGCCCTAGACATAAATCAACTGACTGCTCAATGACATGGTACACCCAACTCTTTCCATAAAGTTTGGTAACCTTGGCCGAGTGTAAGCATATTCTTCCCTTGAACTATTTATAGGAAATCTCCAAATATGCCCTTTGCCTTGCTTCTCACTTTTAAATGCTTAGATGTTCCTTCCTGCACTTTTCTTTTTTTTACCCCTTTTATTCATTCCCCTCCTCTTGGATGCAGCATGCTGACAACTCCCTTTTCTCCCTGCTTTATTTTTGTCTCCCATTGTCTCCCATCTTTTCTATCACTAATTATGTAAACAATTACTATCCCCATTTCTTCTTCATTTCTACCCTTCTTTTTATATTTATTACCTTTGCTGCAATTACAATGAAATCAACATCACCCAAGGTTAGCACTATTCCTCTAAGCAACATTTTACCTAAAATTCTTACTACTTCTCTTACTTGCTCCCACTAAGGTTGCAGGGTCCTTCACGCACTTTCCCATTACTCCTCTACTCCTGTCCATGGTCCCTGATGTACCCCTCCAACCTTTCCTCTAGTTATCTATTTTAGGCATTGTTTATAGTCTGCTGCATTCATTTGGAAAGTAATGTAAGTGGACCCTGCATGATCCTTGTTTTGGCACTAATACTTTGTCAGTATTTCTGACTGCATTGTTTTTCTACCAGACATGTCTTTGCTCCCTATTTCCTCCCATTATTGCCTATGTTTACCGTTCAAGTTAAGCTTACTTTTTGCTGTTCTATGTATTGACAAATCGCTAAATAAAGAATGGAAAAAAAGTGGTCCCAATAACTGGAAAATTAGATATGTTGAGTAAATTCCTTTAATTATGAGTCCACTAATGGCAAAAATAGACATTTTGAGAGCCCAAATTCTGGACTGTAAATAATAATGTACATGCTTTAGAAAATTGTTATAATCAATATTAAACCAACCTGTTTGCAAAAATAACAGAAATGGAAAATTAATTGCAGAGCAATTTAATATATTAGTCACAAGTAATTATCTTGCTGGCTGCATTTGCTTGACTGTTATTTACAAAATAGGTCTTGCGTTATGTAATAATAATTTGTTAATTGGATTTGTATGCAGTTGAAAAGTTAGGAGATTGCAATGGCTATGTTTGTCAGCTGATGTTAATCACCAAAATAAAATATGTGAATAATATGTGAGCAGGAGTATATGGATTAACAAAACCAAGAATGATAGTGCATATACCCACAACTTGCAATATTAGTTTGGCAATAAATTGCCAAAATTGTGATTACCAAGATGAACTCGGGGATAGTAATAAGACAATCAGAGTTTGGAAGTAGAATAAGTCTTTCTATATTTAAGTACTTTAGAACTTCATTGACAGAAAAAACCATAGCTATGCAAAACTTATCATATAAATTAAATGTGGTCATGTAGTATATAGTGTTATCACATATACAACAATTATTGAGAAAAATCTTCACTTAATTGTGTTTTTATATTTTCTTTGCTTATATTCTTTTACTTTTCAGGTAAATTTAGAGAAGAATTTAAAGCTGCATTTTCATGTTGTTGCCTTGGTGTTCACAACAATCAAGAAGATCATCTGATACGAGGTAGAGCCAACACTGACAGCAGAAAATCATTAACTACACAGATCAGCAACTTTGATAATATTTCAAGACTTTCAGAACATGTAGTCCTTACAAATATTACAACTTTGAATGCAAATGGAAGTGGACCTATTCACAACTGGTAAAATTTTTTACAGAAGACATCTATCAGAAATACAAATTTGGGACTGACAAAAATGGACATCTTAAACTGGTATATTTATTTTTAAATAAAAACTCACATGGTATGCAGGGGTGCAAAAATGTCAAAATGTAAGCATATTTATATTAAATACAGGGTAAAATGATGAAATAACCCATATGCCCTGTAATGTTTAGAGTTTTTTATTGGTACTTTTTAGTTGTATATCATCTAAAATCCAAGCATACTCATTAATGTCACTATTGGATTTAATGCATGCATATTGCATTTACTAAATTATTTTGACTTATTGTATAGTAGATCAGTCTACCACAGGACTGGCCATTATGATATTTTGTCATCAGGGCAGCCATGAGGGAATGCTGGTAATTTCATTTGAATGTGACCTGTACATGTAAAAGCCCTAGGAAAAAAAGAAGCAAAAAAACAAACAAAAAATAACAAAAAAACTGTAAACTATGTGTTATGGTGTGCCTGCAACAAATTTTCAACTTTTAGACTGAAAAAAGCTGGATAATCGTATTGTATAAAGTCTTATTGGAGAGCTTTTATAAACGTGCTTGGTTTGCATCAATGGTTCTTAATACAGTATTCAAATCAGACAAATGGCTCACATTTTGTTAAAATCCCTACTTGGCATATGCCTAAATACTGGAATGTTAGTGTTCCTTTAGGTCTGGGCTAGGAACCATTGGTCTAATTGTTTAGTGGACAGAACTTGTGGCCATAGATCAGTAACTCACTGTAAATTTTATTGTACCTATTGCTGTTAACTCACAGACTAACATAATTGTATTGGTGCTCTTGTAACTATGTAAACAGTTGAAATACACTAAAGAAAAATCATTTTGTGTCACTTTAATAGTGGCATGCTGGGTGATGAGATGGTACAGTAACTATACAGAATTACACTTGCTTCTTGTAATATATGCTGATGTTCTCCAGCTCATTTGCACTATAACTTTCACTATCCTAAACACAAAGTTTTATTTTTTTAAGACATTGTAAACTTTAAAACTGTATTTATTTATTTTTTGTGTGTTTTGTGCTGTTCCTTAGTCTGTATTTTGTATATAGTTTGGGCTTTACGGCAGCACCACTACTTAGAAATGCATGTTCTGAGCGTGCCCCCAATTCCCCTACCTTTTTTAAGATATAACATCTTCTATTTAATGTCTAACTCTTACCTGAATGTTCCTAGACTCCTAATACCTTTTAATATTCGTGAATACATGACAAAAGGGCTGTAAACATAAACCTATTTAAATATTTGAAATGGAATAAAGCAATGGAATCCCAATCTATAAATAATGCATATATCCTTTATAAATCTCCTAATTTCGCCTTTGTTGACAAAACAGTATCAGCCGGTGTCCTTATGAAAAAGTTATTTTGTAAGATACTATACTTTCAGATATACAACGTTATGTTCTTCTGTGTGGTACATACAATGTAAAAAGAATTTTATTAAAATCAGCTAAAAAATATAAAATATATGGTAAAATTTAACACTTTATGAAAATTACATGGGTAGCATGTAATCACTTTGGGTGGGATTTAAATGCAAATCGTCACAAAATAAGTAAATAATATTTGTTTCATGACTTGCTTACAGGCTCCTAAAATTATGTCAACTCATGGTAGGCTTTTAATAAGTACATAAAGCTTATGAACTGCAAAATAATATAATTATTTTTTAATATGATTTTTTATAATTTGTTTTATCGACAATTTTTTTTTTAGCTTGAGGAGATGCCACAATGCATCAAAATTGTGCACATGTGTGTATAAATAGATACCAGTATTACAATTACAAATGGTAAATCAAAAATATATTCTTTTATCTTAAGACTATAAAACACAAAACATTTATTGTAAGATGACATATATTTTACTTTTCACATTGAGGTATATGTGCTATTTGGATAAGTTTTGAAATTCTCTGCTTTAGAAGTTTACGTTGAAGAGAAAAAAATAATGTCCCAAAGATGACACAACCATGTCATCATTAGTCTTTACCTAGAATCAAGAATGTGTCAGCAATCCATTGATCTTTAATCAGAAAGTAGAAGCTACAATATACCAATCAAACAATGACAAGGAAAGGATGCCTATCTATATAAACAAGGAGAATTATAGAAAATACAGTACACTAGATTTTGAAAGTGATAATCCCCAACCTGAAGTCCCTCTTAACCTTAAACCTCCCTGTTGTTAGTTTCCCCTAACCTTAGAGGGAAACTTTCATATTGCACGAAATTTTAACTTTGAAATGCTTCTATAACGTTCTAACCTTTTTTTCATGTGATGCTCTGTTTTTGTTCAAATTTATATTTAGAATATGACATTGCATTCCAGTTAAAGGCACACCTTGGACCCCTAAAGCACTTCAGATTGCTTGAGTAATTTATGTGTGAAAAATGTGTCCTTCATTTATGCATTTCACAAAACGTGCAGATTTCAATAGAATTTGGCACTGTTATAAATCAAGCTGGTTACAGCTCATGGCTGTCAATTAGATAATCTTTCTGGTTTGTTTAGCTCAGTGGAATTAAACCCAAGATCCAGTCAATTGCCCAGAGCACCTGTCTTGCAAAGACATCTCTAAACTGTATTGTGAAGTCAGTGATTGGACAGTCAAAGAAAGTCTGGGCTGGGAAGAACAGGGAGGGCTTGCAAGGAGGATTTTAGCTTTTGCACATTGTTTTTAGAAGTACCCCCAATGAAAAAATGCATCATTAAATGCATTTGTTGTGTTCATTGAGGGTATATCTACTAAACAGTATATATTTATTTAATTATTACTTTTCTTATATTTGGGCAGCAGTGTATCCCTTTAAATCCAAGCAAATGAAGAGCAAGCATTGAAATGAAGAGGAGACATAGAGACATTGTTTCATTTCTCCTCTACTCTGTATGCTTTCGCTATGCTATAAGCTATGTGCAAAGGACATATCTTATACCAATGATTGATGAGGAACTAAGATGTAAGCATTCAAAAGAAAGATACAGAGGTGTGATTTTCTACATGTAATTTTAATTTTCACACCACACAAATATGTGTTTGTTAAATAAAAGATACATAAACATAGTATTAAATATCCTGAGAGTGACAGTTCCCTTTTAAACACAATCTGACTACCACATTGGTAAAAATCTTTTAATCCTAACATTACCCTAAATTTAACCTTTTTCTAATCTTACCTTTATTTAAACTGCCTCTTAATCCTAACCATATCCTAATTCCCAGCTAAAGTGTCTGCAAACTGGAACACAATTACTCCTAAAAGGTACAATTTATATTGTAGTTAAAGGAACTTTAAATCGAATATTGTAGTTAAGAGAACCATAAGCAAATACAAATTTATAACCTTAACGGTTTTGTGTTTCTATCTCTATTTAAAAACAGGTCCCTGCCCTCCCTCCTTTTTGCCGTATGAAACAATAAAATAAATGATTTTACATTGCTGAAAATCCCTCGGAACTGCTTGCATCTCTGCCAACATAGACACCATGGAAGAGGCAAATAGAGCATTGTGGACTTGATGTGCACAAGTGTTGCATGGGCATCCAAGCTTCCCCATAGAATAACAATGAATCAATGCTTTACTGTAGGGGCATCCCCGGTCACTGCCATGAAGGTGCCTCTAGTGGCTGTTAATATGACAGTCTCTAGAGGAGGATTTAACCCTGCAGTTTAAACATTGCAGTTACCTAGAACCTGTTATGTTTTACATTGCAGGGTTACTTGGACAGGACAATGCATCAAGACCATTTAATTGCAATGAAGTTACCTGGGGGACTTTAGTGGTCCTTTCTACCAAACACAAATGTATATTTGTGCGTTGCTGTCAGGTGAATACATATGCAAGCAACATATTTTAATATGTCATCTTAAAATAATAGTTTTTTAGTTTTACTGATTTTAAAGGACATTTGGAAAATTCAGTTTTAATATATTTAATAGTGTAAGGCATGGTGTAGGGAATATTTTGCTTTGTTGGTTGCTGCGTTCTCACATTTTGATTGTCAAGAAATACAGTAATAACTTTTTTATTGGAATAATTATATTTTTATAAATGCAAGAATTCTTATTTCCTTTTCAATACATAAGCAATACTGACAAACTGAATGAAAATAATGCTTTAAACATAAATGATATAGCATACAATAAATATATACAATATATAAATACCACAGACAATTAATGGAAAAAAAACATGGATGCAAAGTCATATACTATGAGAGAAGTAAGCCATAAATTGCAACTCTATATGCTTACTCTAGGTGTGATGATGTCTGATTATCCTACAATGCTTTGTTTTTATAAAACTATTGATGGATTTTTTTTCAGTGTTTGTTTTAGATGATTTAGATTTTTTTCAGTATGTGAATTTTTATCATATTAAGTGCATTGTATTAGTAGTATAGGCTGAACAGACATATGCATGATTGCAATTGTAATTCCTAGGGGCCTAAATAAAAATATAGTTTTTATAACTTTACAAGCGACTTTTGCAATGCTGCTTGAAAAAAAAGTGAGACCACGAAATGTGGGTTGGCGGGTGAAGAAAAGGGAGAGAATGGAAAGCACAGGTTTAAATGCCATTTATCCTAAAACACATACCATGTTTAAAATCCAAAGGGCAGTTAAAAGTCTTCTTATAGTCTTAAAGGACCTCCACCGTTTTATTAGGATGTTGTAATATCAGTGAAAAACTCCAAAATACAGAATTTCACATATTTCTAAATAAATATAAAAGTACTAGTGCAAAAAGAAAAGAAAATAATCCATTAAATAAAGTTGGAAAAAACACTGACCAAAATTACTATACATCAAAAGTGAAAAACAAGTATTTGTTTACTAAAAACAACACAAATATAGTTAAAATTCAAAAAGAAAAGTATCGGCACTTCATGGAAAGTGGATTTGCATGTATATATGCAGCAAAACACAAAAAAAAACACAAACATGAAAAACACGGTATAGTTGTGCATTTTAATTTACAATTCTAATTCAAATTAAAGGGACACTCCAGTGCCAGGAAAACAAAAACACTCCACTTCCATCCCCCGCCCCCAGTTGCTGAAGGAGTGAAAACCCCTTCAGTCACTTACCTGAGACCCCCGCCGATGTCCCTCGGCGGTGGTTTCGGATCGCCGCCGCTCCTCCTCTTCCTTACGTCAGCCGGTGGGCGAGACTGAACCCGCCCGCCGACTGAAGAGACCTAATGCGCATTAGAGCTCTCCATAGGAAAGCATTGAAAATGCTTTCAATGCTTTCCTATAGGGAATTGAGCGACGCTGGAGGTCCTCACCTGTGCTATAGACACGAAAGTGCCCTCTAGTGGCTGTCTAGTAGACAGCCACTAGAGGAGGAGTTAACCCTGAAAGGTAATTATTGCAGTTTATAAAAAACTGCAATAATTACACTTGCAGGTTTAAGGGTAGTGGGAGTTGGCACCCAGACCACTCCAATGAGCAGAAGTGGTCTGGGTGTATGGAGTGTCCCTTTAAGTATAAGCACTCACAAGAATGGAGCCAGGATTAGACTCGCAATTAAAATGCCTGTGGGTTGTATCAGCTACTTATTAGCCACTTATGAATCTTCTTTAATCAATATCTTCCACTTATATAGTAGTCATAATTTACATATAAAAACATGGGAATAGGAGATAGTGCCGATACTATGTACTATAGGGATATGTATATAAAAGATATCACACTCACATGCTCCTCAGCCAGTTGTTTAAATATAGGCACAACCTTATAAAGCCAATTGGAGACAAATGTTACTGCATAAGAGATGTTCCAGGCATAAAAAAAAAAAAAAAAAAACATTTTAATGTTAAAACAACATATAAAGGATACCAACTTAAAGAGGCTTCCCCAGTTGGTCAGGACAATACAACAATTCTAAACACATATAGAAATACTAGCACAAAAAGAGTTAAAGAAAAAATGGGGCATCATTTGGTTTTGTGAGACTCACATCAAATATAGAAAATATTGCCTGTGTGTGATATTAAAGGACCACTCTAGGCACCCAGACCACTTCAGCTTAATGAAGTGGTCTGGGTGCCAGGTCCCTCTAGGATTAACCCTTTTTTTTTTATAAACTTAGCAGTTTCAGAGAAACTGCTATGTTTATAATAGGGTTAATCCAGCATCTAAAGCCTCTAGTGGCTGTCTCATTGACAGCTGCTAGAGGCGTTTGCGTGCTTCTCACTGTGAAAATCACAGTGAGAAGACGCCAGC